GCAAAATGCGGAGAGCGGATTAGCACGGAGCGGGGACACATTGACGCGCACACCCATGGGGACCCGGGACGCAGGGACACAACCCCTTAGGGACATCCAGACCCAGTGGTACTGGGACATGAGAACACATGGCACAAATTCCCAGGGATGTGCCATGGGACATGGGGACATACGGATAAAGGGGCACGGGAACCCAGGGACGCACCCCCAGGGGGCGGATTAGCACGGAGCGGGGACACATTGACGCGCACACCCATGGGGACCCGGGACGCAGGGACACAACCCCTTAGGGACATCCAGACCCAGTGGTACTGGGACATGAGAACACATGGCACAAATTCCCAGGGATGTGCCATGGGACATGGGGACATACGGATAAAGGGGCACGGGAACCCAGGGACGCACCCCCAGGGGGACACACAGACACATGGACATGGTACACAGTCCCCCATGGGGACATAGGGACACAGCGATGCAGGGACATGGGGACACATGGGCATGGCACATCCCCGCATGAGGACACACAGATAAAGGGACACAGGGCACAGGACAAACCTCCATGGCTGCACACGGATACAGTGATAAAGGGATATGGAGACAAATGGGCACGGCATAAATCCCTGTGGGGACACATGGATAGAGGGACACAGTGACATGGGGACATCCCTCTAAGGGGACATTTAGGCACCAGGATAAAGTGACATGGGGACACAGTGAACAAGCACGTGGGGACACACGGGCACGGCACAAACCTGTGTAGGGATACACAGAAACAGGAACACATGGATACAGGGACTGAGTGACATGGGGACACCTGGACATAGGGACACATGGGCACAGAGCCAAGGTTGCATATCCCCAGCGGGGACACAGTGACATGGAGTGCTACAGGGTGCTATGGGAGTTACAGGGTGATATAGGGTGCCATGGGATGCCACTGGGTGCCACTGATGATTGGAGGTGGCATCAGCACCCTGGAGGTGCCAGCTGCCCAGTGTCAGGGGGCCACCATGTCCCCCCTCCCACCAGTCCCCTGATCCCACTGTGACCCAGCATTCTGGAAGGCACCGGCACCCAGCGCCCGGCACCTGGCACTCGTCCCCGGTGCCACCATGCTGCGCCTGGTGGTGACCAGCGCCCGCATTCCCGCATCGCAGGTCACCGGTGCCGACGTGCACGTGCGCGCCGAGTTCAGAGGTACCGTGCCAGGAGGACATGTCCCCAGGGCCACCCTCCAGGTACCCGCTCGCTGCCAAAGTCCCTGTTCCCAGGCGTCCCCAGGAGCACTCGGGTGGTGCTGGGCAAGCGTGAGACCATCTGGAATGAGGTGAGGCCGCACGGTGTTGAGGCCACCGCTTCCCATGGTGGCCAATTCCCAAAGGGCACAGTCTCCATGGTGGCCCCAGTCCAGCAGCAGCTGGCCTCTGTGGTGGCATGTCCCCATAGGGGCCACTTCACACCAGGGGGGCCAATTTCCACAGTGGCAAATTTCCACTGTGGCTGGTACCTTCAGTGGCCGGTCCCTGCGGTGGCCAGTCCCCATGGAGGCTGGACCCACGGTGACTGGTCCCCACTGCAGCCAGTCCCTATGGTGGCCGGTCCCTGCCGTGACTGGTCCCTGCTGTAGCT